CTCTTAGAGTTTCCATTTTTCAGTCAGTCAATCTAAAAGCATGACAATGACAAAAGTAGTGAAAAGTCTGGAAATCATATATGAACCTTGGTTAAAAGAAAAGGAGGGCATGCATTGGAAGGGCTGTCATATGGAAGAGGAATTTAACCTGTTCGGCATGGTTTTCATAGATGGAACTAGGGTCAGTGTTAAGCAGGTATATCAAAGCAGATAAGTCAGTTTCTCAGAGTTGCCAAGAATGGACTAGGCTGCTTTAAGATGCAGAAAACTCACCATTATTGGAGGTGCACTTAGCTTATTCCCTACCCTGTCTTGTACCTTAGGTCTCATTTTGGAGGGAGAGGGGCCCTCTAGGGTTTTCACTGTATCAGCTATCCCCTTTCTTTCAAATGACTTTCGCTCTTAGACTAGATTTTCTCAGATCTCTCCTAATCTGAGTTCTTCTCCTCCTAATTTCCTTATCATCCATTTAGTCCATCTAAGTGATGAACGGCACCAAGATCTATGGATTTGATCTCCCCACTGTCTTTCGAGCCTGCCCTCTTCTTTCCACCCACCATTCCATCATAGTTCTTGTCTCCCCCTTGAGAGGTAAGTTTTTGAGGACCTGGGTTGCTTTTTGTTTATTTATGTAATCCCTCGTTAGTTAGCACAAGAGGTGAGCACTCAGAAAATTTATTTAAGAATGAATACGTGACCATCAATAATTTACTGTAAGGCACCTTCTTCTTTAAGTTGCAGGTTGATCTGTTCATTCAGTGTATATTTTTTGAGTATCTACTATGTGCATTTGGGATATATGAATGAGTAAGACCACAGTAGTTTTTCCCCAAAAGATCATAGCCTAGTTCAGAGGAAAATATGTAAACAGAATTTGACTTTGCTCAGGCAATGTTATAAAAAGAAATATATACTTAACCAACTTAACTGGACTTCTGGAATATCACATTCCCACCACTTTGCAGGAGCCCTGCAACCGACTCAGGCAAGTGTTCTTTGAGAAGCCACTGGCAGGGTTTGCGTTTCACAGAGCCAAAGGCAGGTCCTCCCAGAGGTAACAAAGGACACCAGTATCTGACTGGGTGAACTAGCAAGTTCAGGAGGACAAGCCATAGGTCTGGCTCTGACTACTGGTCTCTCCTTGCTAGAAGCTATCCTCCCCAAGTCTAGAGATTCTAACATTTTCATTTTTCTACTTGGGCCTCATCTGTTTCCATAGCACATTCTGTTCCATGCTGGTTCACTGACAAACTGGTCACTGCATAGAATGAGAGTGTTCATAGTGCCCCAGAGCTTTAGATTTTTCCATCTGCAAGTGTTTAAAGCTCAGACTTTCTGCTTGGCTTCACAAACATAGTTAGCTGTTTTATGATCACCCTAGTTATTTATTCTCCTGTTTTCACTTTTATGGATCCAAGAAAATGCATAAAAATGTTAGACATGCGAAGCCCCTCCAATTTTATATATTCAGTTAACCAGTTCATTGGAAGTGCTTTAATTCTCTGTTCCTTCCCTCTTTAGTTAAAGTGTCTTCTGCAGCTTCAGTGAGAGTGGTTTTATAGACCATGTGGATTAGGAAGGAGAGAAAAAATTCTTGGCCGAGTGTGGCCTGGAAGACTTTCCCTCATTACTCAGAGAAATGCATCTGAGTCTGGTCTCCATCTAATAAATGTCCCCAGGCTATATTCTTCCTGCAACAAAATGTGATTTTGTTACTTTATCTGTTTCATGCTCTTCCTACATAAGCAAAAATAGTTTTTATAAATTCAATAAAAGAAGAAAATAAGTACAAGAATGTGTATGGATATATATAGATACAAATAAGTATACATATGTGGGCTTATGTCTACAAGAAGCAGAAGAGTCAAGGGAGAAAGATCAAAAGAGGCAAGAAAGCAAATAAGTTTTGTACAATACATAAAATTTGGTGTTCTGTATTTGTGACCTCAAACTTTCCTTTCCTTTTTTTCAAATTCACATTTCCTTCCATCTAATCTCTAAGTGTTCTGACATTCAGAATGCCAGACATTTGAAATGAGCTTTGTCTCAGGAACTCTGATTCCAAGCTCTGTAGTCTGAGTGGCCAATCCCATTTTGCAACCTGTGACATATCTAAGCCTCGTGATGCCATCACATCACAGTCAAGTGAGGAACAGGTGAAGTGTAAAGCATGCAAGTGGAATAAGGAAAGATACCCTCAGGTTACTTTCCAAAAGCATTTGGCCTTTTAAAATGCCTGCATTCTGATTTTATTATCTAGCCAGTTACTCACTAACCAAAAATGCATCATATGCCAGTGATGTAAAACTTATTCACTTAATCAAGTTATTTCATTGCTGCCTTGTAATGATTGGGGCAGGGTGGGGTGGTATAAGAAAACCAAAAATGACATGTTCAATTCATTTAAGTTCCAATTAGTTTGACAGGAATTTTTTTTGGTTATTACTTTCTAACTCTTGAAATCTTCTATCCAAGTGCCTATACTATTTTGTGTTTCTCTTTCATCTTTTTTCTTTTCAATCAGAATTAAAAGAATTAAATTCTGCTGTTATTCATTGCTCATTCTCTGCATATCAAACTCAGTATCTCTGGTGGTTTCTGGATTCACAGGAACAGAAGTCCCCTTGAAAAAAAAAATCACCTTAAAACATTTTGTTCATGGAAGTCTTAAATCCACAACTTACTTAGACCTCTTGGGCTCAAGATAACATAGATTTTTCCCTCAGTAGTTCATTCCAGAATCAGATAATAAAGAATTACATGTGTTAGACAATAATGTAGCCAATTCCAGATTAAGAAAGAAAAAGATTTTGGCATGAATAATCTCAACCTTAAAATATGTCAACTCTATAATGAAAATTAGGCAGAACATTTAAGTCAAGCACGAACTAATCATCTTTCTAAAGTTATCCAATGCTCTCTGCCAACTCCTGATTATGTGGGAGTTGCTGATCTGTTTTTCAGATTCTCTAGGGTCTTCTGAGGTCATATTCTGTCCTAGGATTCAGGTTTCTATGCTTAGAGTCCCACATTCTAGGCTGCTACTTCTACAAAGTGGAGGAAAGAAATCCCCCAGTCCTCTGAATATTGAGAGCCTGGTGTAGGGCCAGCTGTACTTGGGATCAGGTTAAGTGGCAGCTAAACTGCTTTGACTTTGGACGTCTTCCCGAAAGTACCACCATACTTTGTCTGAAAATCTCCTTTAGTGTATTCCAGGTGGAGACCATTGTTTCCAGAAAACCATTGTTAAAACAGTTGAGGCAGGGCCAGAGCTTGTCATCCCTCTGTAGCATATATTGAGAAATTGACTCCTGGCTTGTATCATTTGTCCAACGAATGGACATTTTTTTGTGGGCAAAGAGAAGTCCTGATTTAGTTGATTGGATCAGCTAAATTGATTAATATGAATAGACAAAGGTTGTGACCAGAGAGAGTATGGCTGGAGGAAAACACTCATGAGAGGCAGATGGTAATGGGAGCTAGGCTGCACACCTGAGTACAGATGCTGAGAACCCCTCTAGAAATACTGAATCAGATCTTTGGAGAGTTGGGCCCAGGAATTTGTATTCCCCTCCACCCACCCAAAAAACAAAAACTCTGCAGGAAATTTAGACAGAGCCATGGTTGGGAATTTTTCCAACAAAAGAAAGTTTCCTAGAATGGGTTTGAATGTAGTGTTTTCTGGATACATGGAGAGACAATAGATGCTTATGAAATGCCTGATTGATTGAATGAATAAATCAGGGATTGTGTGGAAGCTGAGTCCTTAATGACACATATAGTCTTGCTACCCTTATTGCATCCAAGCTCCACCTTTTTCCTGGCACCTCCAGTTCCTCAGCTGTAAGAAGGGCAATGAGGAGACAAGCAAAAGATGTTTTGGGGTACATTTGGTCTCCCTTGTTCCCCAAAAAAGAGGAAGATTGACATCCCATCTCCTCCAGCCAGCTTACGGCATGTGCATGATTGAAAGTAATTTATGACTCCTTTTCAGGCTCAGCCTCCAAGCAGGAAAGCTGACATTAAAATGGTGCATGTGACAGAAATGTGGCCTTGCGGGAGCCCCAGAGGAGCTCCAAATCAGATCAGCTGTCCTTCATCAATCAAAAGTTGGCTGTAGCTCACTCCTCTATTTGGAACAAGTCTAGTCTTCCATCATTATGGCAGAATGGCGGGCTCATGAATAACGTTTTAGCATGAAACTTGGTACACACTTGTTATCATAATCTCAGCTTGTAAAATGAAATGTCTCAAGGGTGAATCAGCCTCATCATCTGCAGTACCACATTTAGGATGTCTTTGTACATTCTTTTTTATTCTTGGATTTCTCCCTCCTTCTTCCAATGCAGATGTGTGGCCAGTGCTCAGTGAGTGTGTCTTTATGCATTCAGCTGGACTTGCCAACTATAGGTCAGGACTGGGGGCAGTCTGCAAGGAAGAAGCACTGGATTAGGGGAAAATTTGATCCCTGTGCCATTTGACTAAGCACTGTAATAATTACTCTGCAGCACAAATTCATTGAGACATGATATTATTATCTCCACTCTGTGGATGAGGAAACAGAGATTCCACGATGTTGAGAAATTTGCCTAAACATACACTTGCAATAATGTAGGCTGATAGTCAGGAATAGAGGGTGGGGCTAGAGAAATGGAGGGGAAGGCACACAAAGACAGGGCATGAAAATCTCAGTCATAAAGCAAGAGGGAGAGACCAGGTGGAAAGGAATGAGAAGAGGGGTTAAATGGGTGCACTGGTTTTTGCCGTACCCTACTTACCTGGAGTTCAGTTATAAATAATTTGAAATATAAGCAGTTATCTGTATACTCACTATTGGTTTAGTCTCTTCTCTAATAGCATAGACACAGAAGCCCAGTAGGGGAAATTCTTTGGGCAGAGCTGACTTAAAGGTCAAGCACACTGGGAATTAGATCTGACCATTGGGCCAGACATTCTCTACTGCTGGTATCAAGTAAATGTGACCCAGTCAGAGCTCTTACCTGTCCCAGCTGTCCTCTCACATGGCCAGCAGGCACGAAGCATGCATGCTCCAGGAAACAAGTGGTCTGTGTCCTCAGCTGGTCATTGCTCTGTGCTTCTCGCCTCTCAATGGCAGCGGGTTGTACCCTGAGTCCTGTCACATCACATGATGGCAGTCAGGAAAATAAGCTCTCTGATAAATGTTCATGTAACACTCAGCATTCTCACCTACAGATAAAATAAATGTGGCAGAAAAGTAGTTGAATATTAATGATATTTTTCTTCTGGGTGTTTTCTTGTACTCTTTGGACATTAAAGGCAACTTTAAAATAGCTGTGTTTCTTATACTCCTGGACTGAGAGTCACTGCCTGTTAAATAATGCTTAGCCCTTGAGCAGAACTTGGTGCTACATCCTGTGAAACTTTTAAAATGAACAAGTCTAATAATTCCAGAAGCCTGATAGTTATGCAAAGATTAGAGGGGATTGTAGTTTTTTTGTGGTACCTTTACAACTCCCTGGAAAGTAAATATTAAATACATGTTTTCCATTAAGGGCCTTGCTTGAAGAGATCATCAGGGAGCTCACTGTTCACTTAATACAAGTTTGGGAATTGCCACCGCTTGTACTTCTACAGAAATTTTTGTCATTTGGGAGCACAATCGTGACAAGAGACTAATATATGTTCTTAAGAACAAGACACTTAAATCTAACTGCATTATGATTATTTATTTATTTATTTATTTATTTATTTATTTTTGGTGTCAGGGAAGAAAGACTCAGAAATAGCTCTTCTTAAATTTTTTTTTTTTAATTTTTTTTTTCAACGTTTATTTATTTTTGGGACAGAGAGAGACAGAGCATGAATGGGGGAGGGGCAGAGAGAGAGGGAGACACAGAATTGGAAACAGGCTCCAGGCTCTGAGCTATCAGCCCAGAGCCTGACGCGGGGCTCGAACTCACGGACCGAGAGATCGTGACCTGGCTGAAGTCAGACGCTTAACCGACTGCGCCACCCAGGCGCCCCTCTTCTTAAATTTTTTTAATGTTTATTTATTTTTGCGAGAGAGACAGAGACAGAGAGCAAGGGAGGGGCAGAGAGAGAGGGAGACACAGAATCCGAAGCAGGCTCCAAGCTCTGAGCTGTCAGCACAGAGCCCGATGCGGGGCTCGAACCCACGGACTGTGAGATTATGACTTGAGCTGAAGTCAGCCACTTAATCAATTGAGCCCCCTAGCCCCCCAGAAATAGCTCTTCTAAGAATGGGAGTTTGTATTGTACTATTCTTTCTTTTCTCTTTTTTAAGTGATTACACTGTTGATCACAACATTGCTCTCTGCAGATCTCTTCCATCAATCCTGGTAACTCTCTGCTTTGATGAGAGCCAGTTAAGGGACAAACTGAGTCAGAATTCTGGGGACTATGAAAAGCACAGCAAAAGCTGTGTAATTTAATACACCCTAAATAAAATCAATCTTTTATAAATAATAGCATGCTAGTATACCTGGTAGTGAATTAGTATAGCTACTCTATGGGAGCATTTGAAATACATTTTATGTTTTCGGTCCCTAGACTTTTATCTTTCTGAATTTTTAACGTCACTTGAAACATCACTAGAATATCTATACATGCTTGCTTCAAGGATCAGTTCTCCAAAATAATCCAATAAACTCTCTTAACTAAAACAAGCTGGCTAACCATTCTATGGATAGAACACTATAGCCAAAAAGACAGAATGCCCCTCTGTCCCCCAATGCCTGGCACTAATAGGCCTCTGCCTTTTGACTATGGTTTCCTGTCTATAAATGGAATAATCCAGCTTATTTTATTTAAGAGAGTTTGTATGGTTATTTGGGGGAAGCTTTTCCAAGTACTATGATCTACCCATCTGTCCATCCATCCAATAAATATTTACTAAGCATTTAGTGTATACAAGCTATTGGACATATAATGGTGAAAACCAGATAGATAGGCTTGACTCCAGAGAGCTTACAATAGATCAGCAAAGAGCCATGGGATATACAGTAAAACACATGATGTGGTAGTGAGGTGGGGGTAAGGTGTCAGAGAAGCTCTCATAGAAGAAGTGATGTGTGAGCTGGAACCTGAAGGCAGAGTGAGAAGGAGTTAGCTAAAGAGCAGGTGGAGTAGTTTCCTGGGCAGGAGAAATAGCCAAGAAGGAAAGAGGGCAATGGGGTCTCAGGGGAACTGAAATATTGGTCAGGGAAAAGAGTAACAGGAAGATGGACTTGGAGAGGTAGGGAGGTGTCTTACCAACCTCTTCTGAGGAGCTTTGAAGGAAATGTTAATGAGACTGGACTTGTTCCTGTTGTGGGGTTTGGAGTGGGGAAGCCACATGATTAGATTTCTCCTTCACAGGATTATCTTGGCTGCAGCCTAGAGAATGGAGGCAAGGCTGGAGGACCACTTTGCCATAGTAGTCTTGACAAAGGACAGAGGTAGCCTGGGCTGGTGTAGCGGTAGTGAGAATGAAGATACACAGGAGGCAAAATAACATGGGATTTAGTGGCAGACTCCATGTAGTAGATAAGGTGACATGATGAATCCTTATTGATGATGAGCATGGATTCTCAAGGAAAAAGATGTGAGGAGAATGAAGTGGGGAATCTTTCTGGATCTTGGAACCAGCTGTTACTCTGTGCATTTGATCTTTTCCTTCCTAGATGAGAAACTCCAGGAGGATAGAATCATGCAGTCTAGTTTCTCTCTACCTATTTGGTATCATGAAAGAACTCACAGAACAACTGGGGTTTAACCCTTGCCCTGCAACTTAGTAACTTTGAGGTATTAGGCAAAATACTTAATGTCTAATCAGAGCCCGCTTCAGGCCCCAGGAAGCTACAGTGAACAAGCGTGGAAAATCTCTACCTTTATCAAGCTCTAGCTGAGGATACAAACAATAAGCAAATAAATTAAAAAACTAGATAATAAAATTGTGCTGAGTGTTATGAAGGAAATAAAAAAAGTTGATGAGATGTACGTAAAGAATAAGAATTGATCAACCACTTGAGAGTTGGGGGAAGAACATTACAGGCAGAAGGGACAGCATGTGCAAACAAAGCCTGCCCATGGGAAAGGGTTTGGTAGGTCAGGTAACAGGTGCTCCATGGAATTAGACCTTGAAGGCTCTAAGGAGATTTAATTTCATTCTAAGAGCAACAGAAGCCATAAATGAATTTTAAGAAAGGAAATCAACATGCCCAGATTTACATTTTTACAATGTCATTCTAGCTACCGAATGAAGAAAGAATTGGAGAGGGAGAAAGTGAAGACAGATTAGCTAAGAGGCTATGACAGTTGTCCGGGAAGGATAAAAGTGACTCAAATAATAATGCATCTATAGCACTTATACTCTTGTAAGCATTTTTAAATTATATATTTTGGGTAAGTTTTAGACAAAAACCCACTGAAAATATATTACTCAATTTATAATTTTATATCATTTTGTTATAAAAATACAGAAAGCTTTAAAAAGTTTTACACAAATTCCCACCACCAAGATTCTAGACTTAACCTTTTACTATTCTTGCTTTGTTGTGTATACATCCCTCTAATCATTCCACTATCAGGCCATCTTATTTTTTTTTTATGCATTTCAAAGTAAGGACAGGCATCAGCACGCTTCACTCCTAAACACTGCAGCATGAATATAATTAACCAGGAATCTGTATTTTTTTAATGCCTTTTTTCTTTTGTCATAAAAACATACGTATTTGAAATGCATAAACTTAAATGACTAATTGATAGGTTTTCAGTCTTTTTCTCCTCTCCTTTTGAGACACTTTATGAGACTTATTGATATTATCCCACAAGTCTCTAAGTCTCTGTAAATGTTTTTCAACTTTTTTCTGTTATTCGGGTTGGATAATCTATTGATCTCTCTTCAAATTCATTTTCTGCTGTCATCTCCAGTCTGTTAATCCCATCCAGTGAATTTTTAAAATTTTCGGTTTGTATTTTTTTAGTTCTATAATTTCTTTTGGTTATTTGTTATAGTTTATGTTTCTCTGCCAAATTTTCTTTCTGTTTTTCATTATGTATATATTTTTCTTTATAATATTGTGCATAGCTATATCTGCTCTGTTGAAGTCTTTGTCTGCTAATTTGAACATCTGAATCATTTTTAGGGTTAGTCTCCACTGGTTGTCTTTTCTTTTGAATTTGGTTCATATTTTTTCTGTTTCTTTGTGTATAAAGTAATTATGGGGGGGTTGTATCCTGGACATGTGGACAATATTCTTTTTAGACTCTGCATTCTGTCAGGTTCTTTAGAAGAGTGTTGATTTTTTTCAACTTAAACTAAAATAGGAGTTCTGATCATAACCTAAAAACTCCAGTTTCTGTTGTTAGCCATTTACATATGTTGACTGATTACTTTTCACAACCATATCAATCTTATAAGATAGACCATTTTATAGATGAGGAAACTGAAGCACAGAGAAGTAACTTGCCCAAGGTCATGCAGCTAGTAAGTGGAGAATCTTCATAGTCTGACCTTCAGACACACTTCTTGAAGTGGAGTGCTAGCAGTAAATACAGAATAGGTGGACAAATCTAGAAACTACTAAGGAGTTATTAAGGAGTTAGAATTCTCCAAGACTTGGAGAGACTAGGTATGAGAGGGTGATGGAAAGAGAAGAATCCAATAGCATTCTGGAGGTTTAGCTTGAGCAATGGGATGAGCAATGGGATAAAATTTACTGGTGTAAGAAAAACTAGAGGAATACTTAGATTTTGCTGTTGTTGTTGTTGTTGTTAGCATTATTTTAGATTTGTTGAATTTGAAATTCTATTATGCATCCCAATGGAGTTGTCCAGGAGGCAATTGAAAATGAGTCTGGATCTCAAGGGGTGGTTTGGCTAGGGCTGGAGACACAACTTTGGTAGTCATCAGAGTGTGGGTATCTTTTAAAACCATTGGATTAGATGAGGTAACTAAGGCAAAAGTATAGGGAAGAGCTGATGGTCAGAAAAAAATCCCAGTGCACATAAACACTAAGAAAAATGGGTAGAATTTAGCAAAAGAAAATAAGAAAAAGCAGTTAGCAATGGTAAAGGAAATCTAGGAGAAATAGTGCCATGGGAGCCAAGAGAAGTCAAAGTTTTCAGGAGGTAGTAGCATGTATGAAATGCTGTTGGAAGGTTTAGAAAGAAGGGGACAGAAGAGTCTCTACTGGATATAGCAAAGTGGAGGCCAATAGAATAAGGTTGGAATATATACTAGAACGAAGAGTCAATCAGTATTTGGATGAAGAAGTGGAGACAGCAAGTTCTGAATCACTGGTTAATAAGTTTTGTTGTGACTGAAGAGCAGAGGAATGAAGCAAAAATTTTTATGTAGGTAGAGATGATACAGTAGAATGGGAGACATTTGTCAACATTAATCAGTATTCAGGTAGCTGATTTAGCTAATTGGATTGTTTTGAAAAATCACATGGTTTCTGCAGAACTGCTCTGTACACTATTAAATCACTTTCAGAATGTTTTCAAGACTTTATTATTTCTGGACTTTGTAATTTCTGTTGGTTTTTCTGTTTACAGTAAGTTCCTATTGATCTAGGCCCACATTGGTTTTAAGTGCTTTTGTGTTGTGTTACATAAAAAATGATGTTTAGTGAATGCTTTTTTAAAATCCTCTCTTTTGGAGTTTTGACTAGTTGTTTTACTCCCCTGCACCTCAATACTCCTATTTTGAAAATGTATGATAAATGATGAAGAACTACATTTATTGTTAGGGAAGTCCAAACAT